AACCTTGGTATAAACCTTGGTACAAACCTTGGTACAAACCTGGGTATAAACCTTGGTACGAACCTTGGTATAAACCTTGGTACGAACCTTGGTATAGACCTTGGTACAAACCTTGGTACAACAGAGAAGCCAACAGTCCCAGACTGCCTTTGGCCTCCCTCTGAGCAGGCGGCCGGTGGGAGGGAACCTCATGTCCAGAGGTCGTGTGCAGCTCTTAGGCAGCAGAGAGGCTTAGGTTAGAATCGACTACTGACATATTGTGCCAAGAACACAGTATGATGTACATTCTATATGAGCTGCCCTTTATCACACTTCATTGTTGTCCCCTTTGTCTTTGACAGCCAAAGTACCAGTGCATCTGTGAGAGTGGCTGGGAGGCTGCAGCCGACAGCCCAGCATGTGTGGCTGACGTCAACGAGTGCAACCTGCCCAACAAGCCATGTTCAACAAACCCTCCTGTCTCCTGCTACAACACCGATGGTTCCTTCTACTGTGGAGCCTGTCCCTCTGGTAACACCGGCTAACAGCTCAGACTCGGGCTCGGGCTAACTCAGGCTATGTTAGCGATGCATCTGCAGTGTTGGTTTATTTAAATAAAACACCAGGTTGGAGCGGCAGCCGTTACGGTTCAGACAGCTGACCGTCACAGTGTGGTAGCAGCCAGAGAACACTGACGTCCAGCTGTGTGAGGAGGACTGTTCAGGTGTTCTGCGTGGGAGGATGTGGGCGTTGGTGCTGCTCAGCTTTCTGCTGCAGGTACTCAGCATCCCAGTCTCCACAGATTACCCTACGAAACAAACAGGCTGCATTCTCAGTCACGTTTAGAACTGAAGGACATGTTTTCAAATGAGCATAACTTCTGACGTGTAATGTGGAGAGGCAGCCAGTCTGACAGCATGACAGCGTGAGCTAACCCAGAGACCACCAGGGAATGGGCTCTCTCTCCGTTGTCACTGCATGTTAGCTTCAGGGAAATATCAAACTTTGGCAGACACTTTTACATGTTAGAAGCTTGGTTAAGGACCAACATTTCTGGACTGGGGTTAAGAGAAATGTCACAGCTCAGGTTAAAACAAGCCTCTCACTGCCTGTTTGAAGCATCTCACCTCATCTGGTGTATGATTGGTTGCCTGGGATGGAGCGACAGTGGAGCAGTGTGATGAGCAGCAAAGCTTTGTCGATGATGAATATATTTGTGATACCTTACAAAGAAATGTAATGCAACAGAAATGATGCCGCCCTCAGAATGTGACTTAACACGCTACGTTACAGTAGTTGTAACGTGAGCTTGTGTTGAGCAGCTGAGCAAGTGTTCAGGTTCTGCTGTTTACTGAGTAGCGATGATGTGAAGGTGATGAAGAATTCTCCGCTGATACCATCTTGTTGGTTTATATAAAGGTTTTTTGAAACAAGCAGGATATCCTGTGAGAGGACTGGAAGCCAAAAAGAATCTCCCTCCAGAACAAACTGCTGGCGTATCTCGGGTTCTGTTTAAGCTAAGACAGAACATGTGGCTCATAACCACAGAAGGAGATCATTTGTAGACAGAGAGGCGCATCTCCGGCCCCCAACTAAACACATCAACCCATCAGATAGCACGCTTCCAGATCTAATGTCACTGGACTGAATGTCTGGCGTCTGTCCCAACATGTTTCTGTCTTGTTTCAAAGCATTCTGAAGTTTTGCTGATGTTCCAGTTCTGCCTGTTCTCGTTAGTTTTGCTGATATGTTTCCAGTCATCCTGCTCATGGCGCCACAGGCTGCTATCCTGGAGCCCATGTTTAAGGGGTTTCATGATTGTTGATCCTTTGTTGAGATGGTAGAAGACAACAGAGGAGAATCTCCTAAACCTGTAATATTAATGAAAGTGTTTGTTTTTTTTAAAACAAAGGGAATAATAAGTCAACAACATGTACAAATAGCGGTCCTGTACAGGACACTCCGTCCAGCCTTCCTTCTCTGAATGTGGAACTGTTGGTCTCAGTGACGGTGGCGCTTGTCAGTTGACTAATTCTGTCACTCAGTTGTAGGAACATGTTGCTCTTCTGCCCAACATGGGCCATAATGATTCTTCATTATATATGTACTTGTGTTTGGGCCACACCGATCAGAACCAGATGCTTAATGTTGTTTGGATCCCCGGGACCATTGTTTGTGCTGTGGTCTGCAGCAGTGTTACGGTCGGTGCTACATGTGAAACTAACATTCACATAAATGGTGGGACCCAGTTTTGAACCTGAACACTGCACAGGAACCAGATCATCAGTGTTATTCACGTCACCTGCTGCCACTGGTTGGTGCACCTTCACACAGAACATGAACGCAGTAAGAGACTCTTTCTTGTTTCCTCCAATGCATCTCAGGTTGGCAAGGCAATGGCTACAGCTGTCAGGATGTGGACGAATGCTTGACCAATAATGGCGGCTGCTCCACCACTCCACTGGTGCAATGCCTCAACACCATGGGCTCCTTCCACTGCGCTTCCTGCCCTCCAGGTATGAGAGCAGATACAAACACAACTGAACTCTGCATGACTGCCAGAGATGGTAGGACCTGGATATGCTGTGTATGTGATGACTTTTGCCTTTTCTGTTAACACAAGTAAAACTGAGGCTCTGACTTGTGAGGGATTCTTATGACCTGACAACCCACATCCACCACAGATCTGACCGGAGAAGATGTTTGCCACCAGGTCTTGCTCAGCATAACTATTTTACTGTGTCCGAAGTCTGATTAATCAGCATGAATTCTGATGCTATCGAATGCAAATACCACTTTGGTACACTGATGGTGGGTCACATGGAGGACTTCTGAGGGAGTTGTTGACCAAGCCAGGACACATTTTCTCCCCAGTAATGGTAGAACAAGCCTAAGCAGACGGTATACTGCATGCAGCTTCTTCTGAGAGCTTCAGGTCCACTGGCTGGCGGATGTGTGGAGCCAGAGTTCAGCCAGTGGACCTGAAGCCCTCAGAAAAAGCACACCAGTAAGCCTGTTTCCCATAGCGCCCCACTGAGAGCCAAGCTTCTTTCTGAGATGCCACCTGTGGTCGAGACTCAGCCAGTTGAGCAAGATCTGGATAAGGTTCAGAGAAACACAGTGACGTAGTCGATTGACCTGGCTACCAGAGGACAGGCCTCCTGCCTCTCTGGAAGTGAGAGAGGAGCTGGAGGCCTTCACGGCTATGCAAGGCCAGCAGCACGTCCTGGTGGGTACCAGACAGATCTTTTTAACTGAACCAAGCATGGACCAGAGTTTGGGAAGTTCTGGAATTTTCTCACAGACCACCAGTTTTAGGACTGGTATTGTTTTCTAAGCCTAGCATTAGCAGCCTCCCTACAGACATCCAGCAGGTCATCAGTGACATGGCCAGTGAAGTCGGTACTAGCAGGTAGTAGCTGTCACCACAGCTGACAGTAGCTCAGGCATCCATTACAGCCAATCCATGCACAGCACAGAAGTCCAATCACAGAGCACCTCTCTGGTTCAGGTTAGGCAGACCCGTCCTTCCAATCACTGCTCTCCAGATTTCTCTATCACTGCCCCCAGCTGGGCCTCATCAGAAGCTCCGGCCCGGTCTCCCGACTCTGAGCAGGATAGTGCCACTCCTTACCAGCACATCTATTGAGGTTCTGTAAGCTACACAAAGGACTCACTCAGTATTTGGGTTGTTTCTAAGCTTGAGTCCTGCCACAAGGTTCAGCTGTTTACAGTGTTTAGTGAACTTGAATGGGTCAAATGAACACGTACAGCTGATTGTTTTCTGCTCGACTACTCATCACCAGTTGTTTTCACATTACAGCCTACAAGGCAGCCAGGCCAGCAGCGTGAAGTAAATCAGAACACAGCACATCACTCATCTGATTAGGTCGGCCTTCGTTTGACCTCATTATTTCATTAAAGAAAAAGAATGACTGGCAGACAGGTTTTAGTATTTTAAAGAATTCTGCAACAGCAGAAGAGATGTGAAGCGTCAGGCAATCACCACATACGTTCAACTGGGAGAAGGAATTGTTTTACATGTTAGCTGAACACAAACAATACAGCTCAGCAGATGGTTTCTCTTTTAAATCTAAGATTTGTTAACCAACAGATGTGCAAGAAAGGGGCTTCCCTTATGCCGACTGGAGGCCATCTGCGCTATCCAAATCCCAACAGGGCCTAATTGTACATACTCATGTGTTTGTGCAGGTTATGAGGGCGACGGGAGAACCTGCACACAGAGCAACATCTGTGCTGCCAACAATGGAGGCTGTTACCCACTCGCTAGCTGCTCCTCCAGCCCAGGTAACAGACATGGACAGGACAGGAGTTCTTAGCAATCAGGAGTTTGTCGTCACCACCTGCAGAGGGAATGAATTGGTTGAAGAGAATAATAATAAGTAATCAATCAAAAAGAATGATAAACTGTATTAGCCTTTTTTTGTAATGACTTTTTACTGTGTCCCAAGTATTGTTTAATGAAGTAGCAAACTGTTTTGGTACCATAAGTACAACTTCGGTGTAAGACGTGTGATATGGAACATGACCATGTATTCTTCCTGTTCTCGCTCCTTCCACCAGGCTCCAGCCTTCCTGTATGTACCTGCCCACCAGGCTACACAGGTAACGGTTATGGACCAACCGGCTGCACTCAAACCAGCAACATCTGTCAGACCAGCAACCCCTGTGTTAACGGACAGTGTGCGGTGAGTGTGAGCCTGTATGTCTTTTAGACATCGTGGGATTCTGCCTCAGCTTCATGAGAAAGATGTTTTTAACTTCACCCATAACTTGTCATTTTACAGGATAAGTCCATGAAAAGCCACAAACTACAATAAGTGGATCCCAAGCTGTCATGATAGCAAATCACACAACAGATGAGGTCACTCCCCTGTAGCTAGCTCCGCCAAGGAGGCCTGTTCCAGCCGGCGTTTATCAGTTTGTTTGTTTGTTTGTTTGTTAGCAAGATAGCTCGAAAAGTTTGGAGTGGATTTTCATGAAATTTTCAGGAAATGTTGACAATGGCACAATGAACAGATGGTTAAATGTTACAGAATGCAGTCATTGCTCCGTTTGTCCACTAGATGGAGCTCTGACTCCATTCAGTCCTTCAGTCCTCACCGCTGTCTTCTCAGTAGTGCAGGAGGAAGCTACAGCCAGGCAGCACCACAGGAGTGGGCTGAGCCGAGCTGCTGACGGATCAGTTCAGAACCACGTTGTGACGTTAACAAGGACTCAGCAGGTCTCCTGGTTCACATTAACAATGACTCAGCAGGTCTCCCGGTTCACATTAACAATGACTCAGCAGGTCTCCCGGTTCACATTAACAATGACTCAGCAGGTCTCCCGGTTCACTTTAACAATGACTCAGCATGTTTCGTGGTTCACTTTAACTCTCTTTGCCATGAGTCAGGACGACTGATGCATGCTTCGGTCATGCTTTTCATTTACGTTGCTCCAGTTGTGCTAACCTAGCTTCAGCTACTTCCTGTCTGTTTATGTTAGCAATAGCATCGCTGTAGTTATGCTAACCTAGCATAGCATTAGCTAACAGCTTAAAGCCAGTAAGGAACTGCAGAAATAATGTAAGTGTACAAAACAACTGTTGATCACTCCGTCAGCTCGTTATTAATGACATCAATGCTAAGTCAATGCTAAAGTTATGTTCTGGTTCTTCATGAAGCTGACAGTGTAGATAAATGAAGCATGACTTTAACACCTGCTGAAGATCACAACATGGTGGAGATGAGCTGCTTGGAGGAGGTCTGAGCTCTCAGAGGGCTTCTCTCGTTGTCGTTATGATGGGCTGTCAGAGGACTTGTCTTGGATAAGGGCTAGCCTAACAGGCTATGTATAAAAGCGTAATATGACAGCAGGAGCTGAAAGGACTGTGGCGTAACCTGCTGACTCTGTCCGTCTCTCACCAGATGATTGGTTGAAACTTACATGCAATTAACCATTTGAAAGAGGCCAAAGCGTCTCAGAGGGGAGATCTTGGTGTTTTTTTAGTGTTTTCACTTTTGTTTTCATTAGTATTATTGAACTCTTAATACTTCCTTACATGACGATAGTTATCTTCAGCATACACAGTGCCAGGTGAAATCCTGATGAACGTCTGACTCGTGTGCTGCTGCTGTCACAGGAGACCACCACAGCTCCTGGGTACATCTGCAGCTGCAACGCTGGCTGGGAGGGAGTGCACTGTGACCAGAACGTGGATGAATGCTCAAGCAGCCCCTGTCTAAACGGAGGAACGTGCAGCGACGGCATTAATGGATTCACGTGTAATTGCACCGCCCAGTGGACCGGCCCACTCTGCCAGACCCCACAGCAAGGTACCGGCTGGACAGAAACAAGTCATAACGGTTGGGTTGCTTTACGGTTCTTTCTGAAGCACCCAAAAGGCATTTTATCGGATTCAAGTCAGTAATCAGGAGTTTGTCTATAGAGTTGTGCCCTGTTCTCAGGCACCTGAGGGCGGTAATTCAGAGCTTGTTGAGGAGGTTGTCCAAGCAGTGCTTGTCTGTCTGAGTGTCTGTCATTTTAGAATGATGCTCACTGCAGCTCTGACTAGGGCTGGTTCTACATCTGCTGTTTCAGTTGGTCATTGATCTTCCTGAGCCATGATGCAGACATGCACAAAGTTCTGGTGTTTTCCAGCCGTCTGTATGAAGGCCCAGGTGTGCTCAGCGTAGATGTCGTTATTACAGATTCTCTGACTGGTCTGTCGGTGATCTTTTGTTCCCTTGAGTATACAGTCTTTGTTTTCGATTGGCCATAAGTGGAAGTGCTCTACATGTCAGCTGTAGAATAATGCACTTTTTAATTAGAATTACAAATGAGAAAGTCTGTAGTCATGTCTGTTGTGTACCATAATCTCCAGACTATTGAGGCACCTGAATATAAGCTCCACCCACTGACTTCAAACAGGAAACCAGGTGTGTGGCATGTCTATAAGCTGCAGGTGTCCACGTTGGAACATGAGATGTTTACACAGAAAGATGTTTGAACCTTTAATTAAATGCGTAGCGGTAACATCCACAGATACGTACCGTAGAGGCTTTTTTCTGAACACTTCCTGTAACACGGCTGGTTAAGGAAATAAAACTCCAGCAGCTACCAGGAAAAGTCACTGATGGCTATCTTCATCTTCCTCCTGCACTAAAACCACTAAAGTCGTCTTCTTCAGTGTCTTCAGGAGCTGAACAGCCTCAGAATCACTTCATCACTTCCTCAGTCTCTCTGTCGTCGTCGCTCTCAGCATCACTTTGGTCTCGAGGCGAATTCGTAAAAATCCATAAATTAGCCGCATCGTTGTTTAAGCCGCAGCGTTCAGAGTGTGTGAAAGAAGAAGCAGCTTATAGTCCAGACATTACGGTAAATGTTTTGCACAAGTTCTCTGTCACACAACCAATTACATGCACTAACCTAATTTAGTTACAGGGTTTTGTAGGTAGTACATCATATTATATATATAATGTGGGCATGGGTAGGGAGCAACAGTGTGCCTGACTTCTGGTTCTTTCTTAATGTAGATGGTGAATGTTCTGCTCTTCTACAGCACCGTTCTACCTCAGTGCTGCTCAAAGCGCTTTGCACTGTTTCTCATTCACCCATTCACACACATTCATCCACCAGCGGTGACAGAGCTCCATGCACGGTGCTGCTGCCATCAGGAGCAGCTTCAGGTTCAGCATCAACTTCCCAATTAAGGACAAGACCTGAGCCAGAGGCCCCTGATGTGTGGTTGCTTAGTCCTATGCAGCTTTAATTAAGATTTCAAGGTTTTCTCTCTTATGCCATGTGTGTCAAATATATATGACGAGGCACAGCTGCTAGTGATGGATGTGCTTTCATTGTATTTGCAGCAGGTCTAGTGCCATAAAGAACTGATGTAAATGTGACTGTGTGCTGCAGAATGTGGGGGTTACCTGACTGGCCCTGCAGGTTCCTTCAGCTATCCCAACAACCCAGGGCATGACGAGTACGATCACCAGGTCAGCTGTGCGTGGGTGGTCCGTCTTGACTCCAATCAGGTCAGTTGCTGTCTCTCCTACCGAGGTAAGGTCTCGTTTTCCTGTCCAGGTAGCATACAGCCAGCTTGTCTGAGCTTCACAGCTAAAAGCCCAGAGCCATGTGTACAGGTTCTCTCAGCTGATCGCACACTTCATGCAATCACATCACACATGGTGGCACAGTGAAAATAGTTTCAAACACATTTCCCCAATTTGGGGCGGCTGTGGCTCAGGTGGTAGGGCGGGTCGGTCAATGATCAGAAGGTCGGCGGGTCGATTCCTGTAACCTGTGTCATGGTCGATGTGTCCTTCACATTGACACTTCACCACCTGCCTGGTGTGGATGCGTATGGATGGACTGTTGAGGTGGTGGTCGGAGGGCAGGATGGCAGCCAGGCCTCTGTCAGTCTGCCCCCCCCAGGGCAGCTGTGGCTACAACCAGAGTTACCACCACCAGGATGGATGTGTGTGGATGAATACCTGACCGTGTTCAGCGTCGTTGGGTGTCTAGAAGAGCGCTGTATTAATCTGTCAACTATTAATTATTATAATTAGGCAACTGTTGAGCTGTGGTTTGGTCTTTACCATCTTCTGAAAATTGCCTCCGTCTCTGGAGCTGCATGTTTTCAACGTTTTGGTTGGTTATTTTTGTTAGTATACCATTACTGATGAGCGCTTGTTTGCTGAAAATGGCTGTTTTCAGGTCAGCCCCTTCTGACTAAACACAAGAAATGGATGTAATCGAGTAGCAAGACGACAAACTCCAACAGAAAGGCAGACATGAGCTTCACTGTCACTGATGAACGGCACTATGTTGTAAATCTGCCAGGTTGACCCTTTATTTTTGTGCTCTTTCCTCTAGATTCTGCGTATTACCTTTCCTTTCTTCCATCTGGAGAACAGCCCCAACTGCGTGTACGACTTCCTTCAGATTCATGATGGGGACAGCCCCTCCTCTTACATGCTTGGAAGATACTGCGGCCAGAACAACCCACCGGAGCTGCACAGCTCCCACAATGCCCTGTATTTCTGGTTCCGCTCCGACCACATCGTCAGTGCAGGTGGCTTTACAGTTTCTTGGCAGGCTCAGGACCCAGGTAGGGGCATTTCATCTGTTTTTCCAAAGACACCTCTGTAGACCACCACAGGGAAGTTGTGTTAGGGCAGAGATCAGGAGAAGGGCATACAATATTTCAGAAGTTTTGATTTTTACCAGGAGCACAGTGGCCTCTATAGCTATGGAAAACTGGCTGCACAGACAGACTGAGTAATCAAGACAGACAGGCTGGGCTGAAACAAGAACCTAGTGATGCTGCCAACAGAGCTTGAGAAGTCCTCTCCAGAGATGGAAGAACACACTTTGTCCACGTGTGGACGAGGCCTTAGACTTACACGTGGGTAACGGAGAGATGAGACAGGACGTATGAATGTTTTCATGAAGTAGAAAGAGATGCAGTTTGACAGCAGAACAATTTAACTGGTGTAGATAATGGATGGATGGATGGATGGATGTATAGATAGTGTCTTATCCAGGCCCTGAAATAACAACAACAAAAGCCATGTCGTGCTGTAGTCACTAGAAATGTTGTCAGCACACGTATAAACACATGTTACATGGAGTATATCAGTGACCTACCAGGAACACACACATTTTGTCTTCCTATGTTTGCTGAGCACACACAGCCTTGACTTCTGCCAGTTGGTTTTGGATGAACAGCGTTTCTAGCAGATGAAGTTGCTTTTGACAGACAAATGAATAACAGTCTGTTTTTCCTCTTAGTGTGTGGTGGTGAACTAAATGCCACCTATGGCAACATCAACTCACCTGGTTACCCTGGAAACTACCCGCCAAACCGGGACTGCTACTGGACAGTGAGCGTGGAGCCCGGCCTTCTCATTACCTTTGCCTTTGGGACTCTAAGTCTGGAACATCACGCTAACTGCAGCCATGACTTCCTTGAGGTGGGACATTCCAAGTGCATCTTGTATGTAAAATCTTTAACAGTGTCAGAGACCTGAGGACATCCATGAATCAGCAGCGTGTTGAAGCCGTCCGCCTGACAGACTGAATGCAGAAGCCCTACATGTAGCTTGTCCTTACACTTTCTGCTCTATTGTCTTGTGTGGCCAAACGCTGTAGATCCGTGATGGTCTTCTACCTGAAGACCAAGTTCTGGGCAAATACTGCAGCACAGCTTCACCACCCCCCCTGCAGACCACTGGCCCATCTGCATGGATCCACTTCCACTCTGACTTTAGTGTGACAGATCAAGGCTTCCACATCACATACACAACATCACCAGGTAAGGAACTGACCGTACCAAGTCAGGCAGCATGCACACGATGTCACAATGCAAACTACACAGCACCTCATCAGACCTGACACCTGTACTGTAACAAGCTGCTCCGCCTGTATGAGCCACATCCACCTAAGATGTGGTCAGCTCCGTTCTAAGACCCTGATGACATCAACTTGTGACGCCTTTCAGCTGTAATCTCATCCTGTTGCCATGGTGATGCATTGTTTGCCATGAAACGTGAGGCTGTTTTTGAGGTCAAGGAATGTGTTAAAAACATGTGTTTACACAAGTTCACCTAAATGTGGCACATGAGTCATGTCCAGACTCTTGGAGTCATACTGTACAGAAAGTAGAGGTACAGCTAACACGTTTCTACCATTTGTCGTATTACAAAGAAGTCCCTAAGTCTATCTCTACAGAAAGTGTTTCTGAATCTTGTGCACAGCTTTTGCCATTGGCCGTCATTTCACGTAGTATGTGTGAAGCAACACATGAGAAATTAAACCATTAAATTGACAATCTTGAATCACAGCCATAGCGCCACCTCCTGGCAACAGGAGGTCAGCCTTATGTGATAAACATGATCTGATTTACATTCTGTTTTCTATGATATGCAGCAGTGTGAGCTATAATTAGTGAGTGTCCTCTAGTGCCAGATCTCGTGTAACCCCCTTGTCCAACATTTCATAATAATCCCATCCTACTTGCCCACAAAATCCATCAACCTCAGCACACCCCAAGATGCAACAACCCAGTCTCTACTACTTGCATTTTTAATTCTAGTTTCAGTTTCCTGTGCCTTTACATACTGTCCTTTGAGTTTGGGACCCATAGCAGCAAGTATTTTAATTTGATCCCTAACAGAATAGAATAAAACTTTATTGATCCCTTCGGTGTAAACCTCAGAGAAATTGTTGGCAGTGTCAGTACCCTATTGTTTGGGTTCATGAGGATTCCTAACCCTGTGTGCTTTGTTTTAGGTGACTCTGGTTGTGGTGGTACATTCACAGAGAGTGAGAGCATCATCATTTCCCCCAACTGGCCCAACGACTATGCTCACAACCGCCAGTGTATCTATTTGATCAAGTTGCCCGAGGGTGAGAAGGTGGCGCTGAGCTTCACTCACATGAGTCTGGAGAGTCACAGCAACTGCACGTTTGACTATGTGGAGGTAGGGCTTCAGAATTACTCTGAAACTGTTTTCTAGGTGTCACAGACTTGGACGTGAAAAATCAAAGCTGTTTACAAATGAGGAAGAGATTTACTCATTGCTGTTGCAGAGTCACGTCCCTAACTAAGCCCCCTCATTACCCACTGCCTGCCAGGTGAACCAATCAGAACGAGTCTTAACTCTAACCCAGCAGCTGCTCCTGCTAACTCCAGAACGTTACAGCCATGAGCACAGCACACCAGATGTTCTGCTGTTGGACCACAAGACCCACTCGCAGCGTTTGAGGAACTAAAGACCCAGTGGATTACTTTTATTTTAATGTCACCACAACAGTAGAGAAATCCATAGCGTTAGCACGTTGTGTGGCGAATGTGGCTAATGGCACCATTAGCTTTGATGCTATGCCCACAGGTCACTGGGGACATTCAGAGGTGGTGGAAACTTTAATTTACTGCAGATTTACTGTGTTCTCATGGTGCTTGTTGTGCTTCAGTGCAGCCTAAGCTCAGGCCATGTAATGTGTGTTTGCCTCCCTCCTGCTTTCTGTGAGCACATTTGCTTCATTTGGGTACAGCCCAGTTCCCAATAGAGTTGTTCTCATCCACATATTTTTTGTTTCTGTTGTCAGACAGCAGATCACCAAGTTTCCTGTGTGTGATGCATAATAATATTGAAGGTCTGAAAATGTTGGAGAATCTACCATGCAAGTCTTGTTGAAATATATTTGGGCAGTAAGGGATTCCTGCATCAGTAATTAGGCGACTGTGTGTGATTCTGTGGATGCATGCAGGTAGGTATACAGTCATGGAAAACATTATTAGACCACCTTGTTTTGTTCAATTTCTTGTTCATTTTAATGCCTGCTACCACCAAACATATATAACCTGAAGAATACAGTGAACTAAAACTCAGCTGATCCTTCGTCCTTTCTGTCCTGTGTGACCTGCTTCAGCTTCATGTGTTCCCTGTAGGGTCCATAAGAGGC